GTGTACAGATTTCTGTACATTGATTTTTGTACCCTGCAATCTGAGTCAATTCATTTATCAGTTCTACTAGTTTCTTGGTGGAGTCTTTAATGGTTTTCAATATATAGTATCATGTCATCTGCAAATAGAGAAAGTTTTACTTTTTCCTAACAAATTTGGATGCCTTTTATTTCTTTTTGTCATTTGATTGCTGTGGCTAGGATTTCCAGTATTATGTTGAATAAAAGTGGAGAGAGTGAAAATCCTTGCCTTTTTCCTGACCTTCTGGGAAAAGCTCTCAGTTTTTCCCCATTGAATATGATGTTAGCTTTTTAAATTTTTTCAATAAAACTCATCCTCAAAAAAATGAGGGAGGTAGATATGTATGACAGCTCTGGAACCAGAAAACCTTTCAGTGGAGACTGTTTAGGATTTAAAGAGGATTCTATATTTTCCTCTTTTTAAAGGATGTTAATCTGCCCTAGGCAAGAGAGTTTACTGGTTAATAGTGTGAGCCCTGGAATTAAGTCATACCTGAATTCCAAACCTGGATTCTTCACAGACATACTGTTAATGTTTTGAACACAAAAACTGTTCTCTTAGCTACTGCATACCTTGTCCACAGAAGAGTGTTTATCAAATAGTAGGCATTCCACAAATACTTGGGAATAAATTCATGAAATTGAATAAGTTACAAAACCTACTTAAGCCTGTTTCCTCATCTGTAAAATTATACTTCATCTACCTCAGAGGACTGTTGTGAAGATTAAATGAAATAAATGTTTAATACCTCAGCTGGCAAGGTGAATACTCAGAGAATATGCTATTAATATTTTTCCTGTTTTGTAAGACATTTTCAGCTAGTTTATAATGTTTTTCCTGTGTAAATTGACAGTATTTCAGTATACTTAAAATTGGATATAAAATCTCATCATATAATTCCACTATTTTTAAATATTTTTACATAAATCAGGAATCATGTATGTGAAATAATGAACCTTATGAGCTTTGACTCTTTTTTTTTTTAAGATTTATTTTATTTGTTTGAGGGCGCCTGGGTGGCTCAGTGGTTAAGTGTCTGCGTTCAGCTCAGGTCATGATCACAGGGTCCTGGGATCGAACCCCACATTGGGCTCCCTGCTCAGTGGGAAGCCTGCTTCTCCCTCTCTCACTCCCCCTGCTTGTGTTCCCTCTCTCACTGTCTCTCTGTCACATAAATAAATAAAACCTTTTTTAAAAAAAGATTTTATTTTATTTATTTAGGGGGGAGGGGCAAAGGGAGAGGGAGAGAAAATCTTAAGCTGATCATGGAGTGTGATGTGGGGCTTGATGTGGAACCCAATAGTGACCCTGGTAGAGAGCCTGATGGGGAGCTCAATGGGGAGCTTGATGGGGAGCTCAACGTGGGGCTCAATCTCATGACCCTGAGATTACAACATGAACTGAAACCAAGAGTTGGACACTTAACCATCTGAGTCACCCAGGTGCCCCAAGCTTTGACTCTTTTTGACAAGTTTTCATGATCAATAAAAATTGCTCAATCCATGATTGGTGCAATTGAACTGAATGTCTGTCAAAATTGGAGGCAACTATATGATATCCATTAAGCTTCCAAAATCCCTCCAGTAAACAAATGCTGGAATTAGCACAAAGTAGAAAGAAAATTATGGAAATATATGTGTTTGGCAGGTGGGAATAGGAATTACTGTAGTGATTTTTTTTTACCATATGCTTCTATAATTGTGCAAATGTTACATATTTGAATATAAGTGTTCCTAGTTATATCTGACAGAAACTTAAACATCTCTGAATATAAGAGCCATTAATTATGACATTTTTATCAAACTGAAACAAAATTTCTGTACACTTTCCATCAGAAGGCATATTTTAAATATATATTGGTGTTGCATATGATTATATTCTAGATTCTTTAGCTAGAGAGAAAACACTTAGTTCATACAACTGAATGTGAATTGCCCTGAAAAACTGTTGAAAATCTATATATGGAGGTCAATATATAGCATACATGAAATACACAAATTAACAAAGTTCTGAAATGTGTTATTTTCATCCTGCTAACAAAAAGTACATAAATGCTAAATTAATTTAGAATAATAAGATATAAATATTCAAGTGTGTTTAGACACTATCACTGTTAAAATTGCACAAAGATCCATTTAAAATTTTTAGATAAAGCTACATACAATTAGATCTTATAATTAATTAATTTAGATGTTTTCATTTTAATTGCCTCTTATATATTTGTCCTCTTGCTAATTACAAATTTCCAGTTAAGCTGGAAATAAGCTAAATTAAGTTAAGCTTGAAATAAGTTAAAGTCCCTATTTTGGCAATGTTGGATGAGCAATTTGGCCATGAGGATGGAAGATGTTAGGAAAAGGCAAATTGAACACATCTGTCTACTTTCCCCATGTCCTTATTTTCCATTAAAAATAACAGGACAGGATTTGTAATGGTAAAAACCAGCAACAATGGGGAAAATGAAAAGTAAAAAAAACACCATTCAAACTTTAAAATGCAGAAAGGAAATAGACCCAGAAATTATTTAGCCAATCTGATGTTTTATTAAAAACCTGTAGAGGGGTGCCTGGGTGGCTCAGTTGGTTAAGCAACTGCCTTCCGCTCAGGTCATGATCCTGGAGTCCCTGGATCAAGACCCGCATCGGGCTCCCTGCTCGGCGAGGAGCCTGCTTCTCCCTCTAACCCTACCCTCTCTTGTGTACTCTCTCTCTCTCATTCTCGCTCCTCAAATAAATAAATAAATCTTAAAAAAAAAAAACTATAGAAAAAGTTGAAAAACAATTCTATTTGTATCATAGAATATTTCTTGTATACTCCCAATTTTGTAGTAATTATAGCATCTTGTTGTGATTTTTATTTTCATATCTCCTTTACTGAACCGTGAGCCCCATGACATAGGGAATATGGTTTAATTTTCTTTGTATCCTCAGTGTCTAGTCACTGCTAGTTGACACAAAGTAGGTGCTCAATACATATTTATGGGACTGATGAATACATACTCATTTTATTGTAATAAATAAATATTCATGTAATTACTGCCCCTTGCCCATTAAATTCATCCTGTAAACTATAGGCTAACTACTCTTAGATCATAGAATATACATTCGAGGGGGTAGATATGAACCAATAGTTTCACTGCAAAGTCTAATTTCCAAAGACTTCAATAACACTTCTGGTGAGCATCCCTTAACAAAAGGAGGCAGTCTATAAGTTGTTGTTGAATGAAAGTTCCTTGTTCTGTTTTGTTTTATTTGGGGGGGTGGGTAAAGGGAGAGGGGGAGAGAGTATCAAGCAGGCTCCACACCCAGCACAGAGTCTGACGCAGGGCTCAGGCTCACCATCCTGAGATCATGACCTGAGCTGAAATCAAGAGTTGGACACTCAACCGACTAAGCCACCCAGGTGCCTGAAAGTTCCTTGTTTTGAATAACACATGGAAGAAAAGTAAAATAACCAACATAATAAAACAAAGAAGAACTAGGAAAGATACAATAAAGTAGAGGGGAGATATAATAAGGTAGATCTCATTAACATTATAAAGACTGTATTAAAACTTTTCCAAGACCTTTTTTTTTGCCAAAAGAAACCAAATAAAGAAAGAAAGAATAGCAGAGATTTTAATACACAAGGCATTTCAGGGCACTAAAATTTAGAAGAAAATAGTTGTTTAGTGAATTTAAGAGGAAAATGGACCATGCCAAATGCAATTGTTGAGAAGGATAGTTCCTACATTTGGATCAAGAAAACTTTTTTTTTTATCTGTGATTTTGTTTTTAATTATCTTAAACCTTATCACATAATTTACAAATTTGTGCTGATGATAGATCTCCTTATTTTAACCCTTCTAACGAGTTGGCAAAAGCACCCTTACCAATTATTCATATATGGTATTTCCACAGCTGTGTCTTTGAATAGCTGTTTAGAAGACAAATCCTGAATTATAACTTAGTCTGACTTAGTAGAGAATTCACAAGCCAAGTCTGCTGCTATATGTTGTCACGCTGAATTTTAAAAGCATCTGACCTTACAGATCATCTATAAAATGTGAGAAGTGTTAAATATCCTTTATTTAATATTAAACATAAACCACACTAAAATGCCTTTCATTAAGCAAAAGGCAACATTTTAGATGCAGGGAATTTTAATTAAATTGGCATAATTAAGACCAAAAAGATAAAGTGGACACTGCCAGCTTATCTTCAACTCTTGCCTTCAACAGGCTAACAAACACAACTTGAAATACAGCTAAGTCTTGCTGGTTCTGAGACAGTGAAGGGATTTCTTCAGTATTTAAATATATTAATATAACCAATTATATAAATCTAAATATAAAACCAATCTCCAGAAGTTTAGAGATGGCATTTACCATCTTTGTGAAAAGCTGAACATTACTAATCAATTCCAATCATATTTTTAGAAGGGGAAAACAGTGACAGCACTTGCTGAACCAGAATTACTATCGAAGTTCAAAAAGCCGATCATATTCATTTAACCACAAGCCAATCTTATTTAAATCAGGACTGTCCAAAAGAAATATTCTATCAGTCATTCATGATCTGAATTCTGGTGTATGAGGTCAATTTAAATATGGTACACATAAAAAAAAAGTCATGAGACATTTTTATTTTGCAATAAATAAGACAATCATTGATCAGAAAAACTAATTTTTTCTTTCAGAAAATGACAGGTGAATTTCTAAGAACAAATATCAGTCCATGCTGGAAAGAGGTAATGTGTTGTGTTTTTTTTTTTTTTTCTTCAAATAACATAAACTAGGTGGACAAAGGTTGTATATACCACAGGACTTGATGTTCTTCATTGTTTTTGTTTGTCTTTGTCTTACTATTAATGAACAGGCTTTGTAATTCTCTTATGTCAATCCTATTACTTGTTTAGAGCTATTTCTGCAAGGGTCATCAATATTCAAGGATCTTAAATCTGAGCTTAAACCTATCCAAGTTCAAGTGGAGTTCAGTAAACAGGCTGCTCATCCACTGAACATAATCAAGGATACCAGGCACAGAGAACCAAACTGTGAGTCTGCAGGTAGTTTTCTTGGTGTAATTTTTAAAATTTTACATTAGGGGAAAGAATAATGATTTCACTGTTCATGTATATGGTGTGTTCTTTTGAAATATTTCAAAGTAACATTAAGTAATGACTTATCTAACTATAAAGACAAATTCTGGGTATCTTTCCCTCTTAAAGAGATTTGCACTAGTCATCTTCACTAATGTAAATTCTGTGTAAAAACATCATTTTGAGTCTGATATTCTAGACAATTAAAATAAAACTGTGAATAGGGAATTAATTGTGAAATTTAAAATTCTTCAGTCCTCCGTTTGAGTGAAGAGAGAATTGAAGGAAAGAAAAGATGAGTCCTTGCACTTTGTATTTGAAGATTTGACTCCAAAGCTGTGAAAGGAGTATTACATTCAGTGCTAAGGCACTCTCAGACTTGGAACCAGGCACTTAACCAGTTGTGTGTTCTTGTTGTTTTACTTAGTATTACATTTTTGGTTTTTTGGTGTGTTTTTTTTATCTTGAAAGTGGAGATAATAATGTCTGTTTCAGGTTACTTCAAAAATTTAATGGCACAGAAATAATATTTTTAAAAGAAAAGTACAGGGAGTTTGTAGATATTTAATAAATTAAATGAAAATTTTCTTTTGATTGATTTTATATTTCTTCTGTTTTTGCCTTACTGTGGAGGTGATTATGATTACTAATAAACTTTACAGTTTGCATCATGAAAATTAATGAAGTAAAATTTTCCCACTATTTTGCCATGAATATTTTTATTAACTGCAAAAATAGCTTTTAACTACAGCATCCATTTTAAATTATATATATTTTTGGCCATTATACATGCTACTTAGAATCACCTAACATTAAAGCTAAAAAAAATCTGAGAGATCACCTAACTAATCATGGCAATATTGTGCCTAAATATTCTGTTTATAAACTGCATTTGACATTATATAAGTTGCCAAAATATATATGAGCCATTCATGAAAATGTCTATAGTGAAATTATAACAATAGTTGCTAAAATAAGTGTATTTAGAAGATACAGAGATATTCAAAATAAGATATCTGCTCTGAATTTCCAGCAAGATTCTGACATTTCTATTTGCTTCAAAACAATTAAGAAATGTCTGTATGTAGTAAGAGTAAACCTGAATAGGTTAATGTCTTTTTCTTTTATTAGGAGCAAGAATTCAGTTATACTTTGGAAGCTTATCTTTTCCCAGAATATTTGTAACTGATGATACTGGTAGACAAATAGAAGACTGCTATCTGTTATGCATTCATGACATACAAATCATTTAAAAGTCTCCTAACATCTTCCACCTGTCCAGTCTCATTTGTTGAAAAAAGTAAAACTACTTGAGAAGAGTAGGAGCCAAGAAAACATTCTATATGCTCTGCAGTGTCTTATATCAAGGTTTCTATCACAGTTCTTCTATCCAAGTTGTTATGAACTTTAGATACTAGGGAGGGTAAAGGTAGTAAAGGGATGTTTTCAACAGTATCAAGAGGTGTGTTTTATATGTAAAGGAAAGAAAACTAACATTTGCTTAATGTCAACCACTTGCTCTGCATTAATTTGTTACAGCCATTCTGAGGATGGTGTGTCCTATAATCCATTCATAATTCTGGGGATTTACTTTTAAAGAAAATTCTCATGATGATAAAAAAAAAATGTAAAAATTGACTTAACCCAAAATTAACAACTAAAGGTGGCAACAGAAATCCCGAATTTTGTGACTATCTCTGTAAAGTCCTCCTCCATTAAACAACTGAAATTCAGAAAATATATATAAACCACTATGACATAAATACTAAATGGAAAATCAAATTTAAATCACCACCTGCCATTTCCCATTTATGCACATATTTTTAGAAAACCTTCTTACTATTGTTTTCAAGCAATTTCATGTACATTTTATTAGCCTGTATGTCATGACTCCAAATTAATTTCCCCTTTAGTAATAAATCTCCCCATTCTTAAATGTCTTGTGGCAAACAGACCTTACTAGAAGCAAATCAAAATATTATGATAAAGGACCTTAGTCAGTAATAAGATAGGAAAATATAAAACAATTTTGAGATAAACGTACAATATATGTGTGACTATGTACACACACCCATACATACACACAGAGATATTCTTTCTGTGGAAGAGATAATTAGGCATAAGCAGTGCATATATGCATGGATTCCTAAATAAAATTTATATTAATTTGACTACATCTATTATTAATTTTAAATATTTGAGTATTTTAAATTTTTAATTATTTACTAATTATCATTTTTGCTCAACTTCTATTAAGTTCCTACAACTAAATACTATACATTTTACATAATACATTTCATATCATTTAATCTTCACACAGTCTTTTGAAGTAGACACTATTATTACTCCTATTTTACAAACAAGAAAACTAAAGCACAGAGAGTTTTGTGATTTGCTCAAGGTCACACAGCCAATAACTGGCAGAGCAAGATTTGAACCCAAGTGTTAATGTGTTAATCATTATGCTATAATGTCACTTGGAAGCATTGTAATGCATGGTTCCTGCCCACAGGAAGCTTAGCTACTCCTTGGAGGAGAAGACATATATAAATAAATCAACTGGAGAGTAATTCAAGAAATTAACTGATCTAGTATGAGGTATAAAATTCCCTCTACATTGATGTTGAACCTAAGATCATATGTCACTCTTAGCAAAAATCTCCAGTTCTCAAAATCAATAAATAAAATAAAGGAGTGGATAGAGAAAGAAGAAATTATAGTTTGGGTGAAATCATTGGAGCTGTCTTTATGATTTGAGAGGTAATGGAGGTCTCCACAAACCTAGTAATAATTCCTATGAACTCCTAGATCATGGGTCTGTCAGACCTACTTGATGTGAAATTTCCAACCACTTTTTTTTAATAATAAGGGAAAAGCAGAACTGTTTTCTCCGGGAGTGCAATATGACATTGGGAAGACGGTCATGGCAAGGGTTAAAACATCTGACATCAATATATTAGCACTGGTGAGAACATTAGCCTGGCTTAGCTGATCAGATTAGTTCATAGTCACCTTGGAAAGCACAGGAGAACACAGACCTAAGGAGATGTTATGGTTAGAGGTAGAAAAGGGTAGGACATGAAGCCCTGTAAGGCTGAGCAGCATACAGTGTGATACCCTTAATAAAGCACAGATCAAGACACAGAATCTTGGTTTCTGTCAAAGTCAGTCAGTTAGAAAGAGACAAATAACACGATTTCACTCATATGTGGAATTTAAGAAACAAAATAAACAATCATGGGGGAAAAAAAGAGAGGCAAACCAAGAGATGAACTCTTTATTTTTTTTAAGATTTTTTTTTTTTTTTTGAGAGAGAAAGAGGATGTGCACGCACGCAGGGGGTGGGGGGCGGCAAAGAGAGAGGGAGAGAGAGAACTCTTCAGCAGGTTCCATGCCCAGTGCAGAGCCCAATGAGGGGCTCGATCTCACAACCTTGAGTTCCTGACCTGAGTTGCAATCAAGAGTCAGATGCTTAACTGACTGAGCCACCCAGGCACTCCAGAAAATAAATTTCTGCCTCAAAAGTCTATAGTATTTTGTTAAAACAGCCTGAGAAGACTAAGATACCAGAAAGCTATGTTTACATGTGATTTTTGACAAATAAAAAAATGGCAGACAGTTTGAAAGACTGAAGTGTTAGTTTTCAAATACATGCCACACATTGAAAAGATTTTTATACAAAACTTGGGCTACATAATAGCACTAAGAAGCAAACCGACTTAATTTTAGAAATTGATCTTAAAGATTGCTGAAACCATAGAACTGTCACTTCCATTTAAAAATTGAAATACCATTCTTTGAAGTATATAATTAATTTTTTTTCTATTTACTTACTTGACAAAGAGAGACACAGCGAGAGAGGGAACACAAGCAGGGGGAGTGGGAGAGGGAGAAGCAGGCCTCCTGCCGAGCATGGAGCCCGATGCGGGGCTCGATCCCAGGACCCTGGGACCACGACCTGAGCCTAAGGCAGACACCTAATGACTGAGCCATCCAGGCGTCCCTAAAATTAATTTTTAAGTAGTTGCTATGAGTCTATGAGTGAAATATCTTACTTTGCTGCACAAATCTCCATACAGAGCTAAGTAAAATGTTTCCATAATTTTGCATTTTTAGTTTCAGTTTGATACATAATTGACACATTATTGCATATAAATGATGCAGAGACATAGGACTGATGATCATTTCTCAATCCACATGTATGACTGTCAAGAATTAACAGTAGACAAATCCATTTTGTCTTTTGTATCAACTTTCCAGAGTCATTATCAGTCATTTAGAATCTATTCAGATAACTAGAAATAAACAGACTCTTCTATTACATTCAGTATAAACTAACAGGATTTAATCCGAAACAGAGAAATTTATCATTCAAATAATTACTATGTCAAGGACTTTGGGGACGTGGTACCTTATTGATCTGTTATTTTTCATATTCTCATCTTGGTTTTAATGCTTATACAAAAAATTAGGTTGGTTTATTTGGTTACTTTATTCATTCATTACACATTTTATTGAGGAGATGACAGACTAGAAAAAAATAAGGATTTTTGAGATCTGAGAGTCAGAGAAATCCAGATTTGAACCCTAGATCTATCTACTCCATAGTAGTTCTGTGAGCTTTGGCAAGTCACTGAATCTCCTGAGGCTTGAGAATCCATGTCTGAAAAATGAAGATACTAATTTTGTGAGAATTACAAATAGTATGTACAAAGTACCTAGCACACAGTAAGTTCTTTAAAAATGGCTGCTGTCATTTGTGAAGTAGTTACAACATGTGAAATAATTATAAGAAGACAATGATAAGTAAAAACTTGTTTCTGCCTCAGAAAAACTTACAGTAGTGGGGAAAAAGGGATGTAAAAATAAGTCCTATAAAATTGTTGTGGATGCTAGGAGAAAAGTTAGTCTAGGGCACAGTGATGAGATGACCCCAGTCTTTGCAAAACTACCAG